CCGGCCCACCACCACAGCCATCTACTAAAACGACAACGACGACGACTGCATTGCCAGCACCATCAACACGCACTCTAGCACAGCGATCATGGCAACCCGAACTTAGCATCTTATGTATCAACCATGGTGCCGGTCACCACAACCCCTGACACGAGATCAGGCAAGACCACAACCACAAGCCGCACGATCATTAAGAAACCAAACATGGCAGCAGCCGTCATAATCATAATGATGGCACTTGTAGCCAGACTACCACTGGGCCCTGAAAACGTTCAATCCCTAAACCACGGGATCCTGAACCTTCAAATCCCTGAAGTCATCCCAAGCTAGAGCGCAGTCGCAACCCTGCACAAGCTGCCTTGTCGCTCATTTAAACATCTACAAACCCGATGAGCTGCCCACCACAAACGAAAAGTCATGCAAAACCATATGCATCTTTTTACCGTGGAAACCAAGAAACCCCAAAGCCAAAACTCAGATCGTCCCTTACAGAACCTTTTTTTGAGCAGGGATTGCAATGCACAACCTAAAACCCCAAACCTACTAACCCAGATAAGCTTCCATGAGCCGCTCGTTGGCCTGTTTCTGCACACCTCGGAGGCAGAAGGTTTGGGCGCTAGGGTTTAGGTCTTGGGTTTTTAGGGTTCCGGACTTGAGGGTTTAGGTTTAGGGCTTTAGGGTTTCGACTCGCACACTCTCGCACGGCGGCAGGCACGGATTCATGGGGTCGAGACTGCCGTGCTTGGGCAGATGTGTTCAAAGGGAGTCGCGTCGCAGAAGGTTTCACACTAGTTTCGGCTTGCAGACATTACATTACATCCGGGTCCGGGAAATCCAAAAAGTTTGAGGCTGAGTGTTGATCGGCGTGCAGTTCCTCAATCATCCGCACCCACCCCAAGCCGTCTTGAGGCCACTTCTACACAAAGCGTCTGAGACCACGTGTGATCCGAAATTGCGAGGGCTTAAGGCTGAGGTCGCTGGGGCTAAGCGATTCTTCTGCAACAAAAATGAGGAAACTAAGAGGACACTATTCCCGTTATCCAGGTCCCTATATCACACGTTAGCCAGGAGCCTCAAAAGCTTGTACTACTAAGCAACTGTGCCTTGAGAACCCACGCATTACTTTGTTTGCTTCGGGGCTGCAGTGGACTGGCCCGGCGCACAGCCGCTGTCAATCCACAGATTGCTGTACTGTAACATGCCTGAGGACCCATTCCTAATCGCTTAGACCCACAGAATTGGCTGAGGGCCCAAAACTCTTACCGGCGCCCAGGGCTGGTCACTTGCAACGGGAAAACCAGGGCCTGGCCACCGACAAACGCCGAAGAATGCAATACCCTAAACTTCTTCGATCCCAAATCAAGAAAACGAAAGCCCGATAACTGGGAGGACTCAATTCTGCAAGGCCGAAACTATGGAAGTTCAAGATCGCGCTGCAGCCTGAAGCCAAAAGCGCATTGAGCCCTACTCAGCCCGTTTTCAGCTATCTCGGTAACCGTGAGCTTGGGAATCTGCGGCTGAAGGCGTCCGTCCCCAAAGTCATGGCACCGGCAATCTTGGAAAGCTGACCCTGTGACTGTAGTACCAGCAGTCGATGTTCCAGCCGACTATGCCGATAGCTCCATAGCCGCGGTGTTCTGGCCAGAAGCTCCGCCGCAGCTGCCGGTGAAAAGAATTGCTGTAGCAAAGCGTGTTTTACGGTTAAGGTTCCCTCAATTCTCAAGCCAACCACTGGCGGAAATGTCGCAATCATCTTGGCAACCTGCGACTGGCTCAAGCCCAACTCCTTGATCCATTCGACAGTCGGCTTCAGATTTGATTCAATGCTGTAGCTTAGCACCGCCGGACTTGTCGCAATCATCTTGGCAACCTGCGACTGGCTCAGGCCCAACCCCTTGATCCATTCGACTGTTGGTTGCAGGTTCGTGGCAATACTCAAGCCAAGCACTGAGGGACGTCGGAGGATCACCTTGGCAACCTGCGACTGGCTCAGGCCCAACTCCTTGATCCATTGGACTGTTGGTTTCAGATTCGCATCAATGCTCAAGCCAAGCACTGCCGGATTGGTGGCAATCATCTTGGCAACCTGCGACTGGCTCAAGCCCAACTCCTTGATCCATTCGACAGTCGGCTTCAGATTTGATTCAAGGCTGTAACTAAGCACCTCCGGAAATGTCGCAATCATCTTGGCAACCTGCGACTGGCTCAGGCCCAACCCCTTGATCCATTCGACTGTTGGTTGCAGGTTCGTAGCAATACTCAAGCCAAGCACTGAGGGACGTCGGAGGATCACCTTGGCAACCTGCGACTGGCTCAGGCCCAGCTCCTTGATCCATTCGACAGTCGGCTTCAGATTTGATTCAAGGCTGTAGCTAAGCACCTCCGGAAATGTCGCAATCATCTTGGCAACCTGCGACTGGCTCAGGCCGAGACCCTTGATCCACTCAACTTTTGGTTTCAGATTCGCATCAATGCTCAAGCCAAGCACTGTGGGATGTCGGAGGATCACCTTGGCAACCTGCGACTGGCTCAGGCCGAGACCCTTGATCCATTGGACTGTTGGTTTCAGATTCGCATCAATGCTCAAGCCAAGCACTGAGGGACATCGAAGGATCACCTTGGTAACCTGCGACTGGCTCAGGCCGAGACCCTTGATCCACCTAACTTTTGGCTTCAGATTCGCATCAATGCTCAAGCCAAGCACTCTGGGATGTCGGAGGATCACCTTGGCAACCTGCGACTGGCTCAGGCCCAGCCCCTTGATCCACTCAACCGTTGGCTTCAGATTTGCATCAATGCTCAAGCGGAGCACGGAAGGAAACCTCTCAATCGACTTGGCAATTTGGACTGGGCTCAGCTGCATCTCCTTCTGGAGAAGCTCTTGCAATGCCAGTAGATTGTTTTCAGATGCGCCGCCAACCAGCTCTGCATCCACTGCAAAAGTTCTTGCGTGCTGGGCGATCTGCAGCGGGGCACGAACCTCCAGCTGTGAAACGAGCCTGGGCACCAGCTGAGCATGACACTGCTGCAACAGAGAAGCCACAACTTGCTGGAGCGTCCTGCGCAGGGAGGGAGCATTTCCGGAGTGCCAGCAGTCCACTAGTACTTGCATGGATTTGTCCTTCCACTTTCGCTCCTTGTGGGCGATGCGCAGTACGACAGATCCAGCAGGAGCGAACTGGAGCAGCGCACTTGTCTTGCGCATGTCCCTGGCCAGGCCCGATGGCTCCATGTGACGATAATAGCCATCGTACTCGATGAACAGTGCAGCACCAGTCGCTTTCATCACACCATGCGCTGCGAAATCTGGGCACAGTCTGCTGGAGCCCCAGTCCTTGCATTTTTTCACCGGAAAATCACGGAAAGCCTCGGCAATGGGCTCATCCGGCATGAGCAGCACTGCCAGCTGCGAGAGGAGCTCTGCCTCAGCCCTGCTTCTAAACACCTGGCGAGGCTGGCCCTTCAGCCACCAGGCGGGTGGAGTCGACTCCCGCGAAGCTGTTCCGAAAGCGAAGCGTGGAAGACTCGCACAAGGAAGGTGTAGCAGGCCGCCACGACGGAAGCATCGTCTCCATGACCGATGCTGCATCTTTGATGTTGTTTGAAGTCACGACAGCACCAGCTATCTGCTTTGCGGAAAATGGCGACAAAAAACACACTCCACATGAAAACGGAAGGGCAGCATCGAATTATGCTGTCGTCTAGTACATGTATGGCAAACCCGCGCAGATGCACACCGACCTGATGTTACTTTTACTGTAGCATGTCGTCATTGGTCTGCTTCTGCATACTCGCCCTGAACGCTGAGTAAACTCAAATCCTTATATAAACCGCAAACCGTTAGCGCTAAGACCCTAAATCCCTGAAGTCCTACAACCCAAAACCCCAAACTTAACCAACGTAAATCCTCAAATCTCGAACCCAAGCCTAAACCGACTTCTGTGGAAACTGGCCCGCTTTCTGCTTCTTGCCCAAAAACCGCCTTCAAGCTGACATTAAGCTATCATTGATCACAAGGAAGGTATAACCTACCTAGGACCTAGGATGGCAGGAAATGCATAATATGTGCTACTTAGGTCCCTGTTGAACCCTGTTGTAAACTTCCAGAAGCCTCCCTTAATCAGACTTCGGTCTTCCCCGCTTGGGGCCGAGCTAAGGGACAGCTTGTTGCTGATGTCTGCCTGCCAGGAGACGGGGTACAGGGCATGCATTGTTTGGATCGGGAGATTTGAGTTTGGGGTTCAGGGGTACAGGTTTGGGGATGGCTTGGGGTGTTTGGAGGCTTGGGGTTTCAAACTCGCATATAATCGAACAGCCTGTGAGGGATATCCCAATCCGAGCGCTGCTGCTAGGGCTTTGGTGTCTTCTTGCTCCCTACGGTTCGGGGGATTTAGGGCTCAGGGGCTTGATGTGGCAAATTAACAATGTCCCAAGTGCAAGAAGGCCAGATCACAAGGCTCTGATTCGAGACATCTCGCATTCCTTCCTTGTCACTTCTTGCTGCGACACGCCAGACAAGCTCTGAACTGAACTGTTTAGGCAAGGCGTCTTACATTAGGCAGATTGGCGCAACTCCGAGACCTCCCGACCCAAACAAACTGCAAACTTCCCTTAGGAGGCACCAAAAGACCGCATAAACAGAAGAGTCCTATACCTGGACCACAAAGAACCCTACAGAGGGTCTCTTGGGCCGCTAATTAACTCATTAGTTCAGTCCTCGCATACTTAGGACTTAGAATCACGCAGACATCTTCTCCAGACGTTAGAACATTTTAGGAGGCACTACGCTGTTTTGAAGCAGTGTATAGAATCACCAGCCCACCTTTACATGTTTTCTCAGTGGCGATGGGAAAAGCCATGTTATATCATCTTACTACATGGCCGAAGTACCCCCAAACAGGCCATCCAATAAGGAGAAGCTGGAAGCAGCCTGTTTTCCGCATGACAGCATGCACCCGGAATCCCAATGTGTTCAGCCGCAGTTCTGCGGATGTTCATGCTCAATCATTGTCTCGGTGGGACCTTTTAGGATTGGCGCTGGGCGGCTGCAGCTTTAGGCAATCTGCCGTGGCATTCCTCACGGCTGGGCAGCCCTTGGCGAAGACCTTGGAGGTACGTGCACGCTGCACGAGATCGAAGGCACCAGCGTCTTGGACGCGTTTCGCATCGAGCTCTGCGAATCTCCTGAGTGCTTGCACACCCCAAAGAGCCACCCAGCTGGCACGCGGGAAGGACTCCATGCAGTCCATGATGATCCGTAGGCCTTCACCCTTGAAAAGCCGGTCCCGAGCATCGTCAGACTCTGTGATCATTCTACAGACCAGTCCACAGCCTTCTTGGACCACCCATTCGGCCTGGGCATTCATCTTCATGGAGTTCATCACATCCTCCAGGGCAGTCGTGCTAAGGAGGGTGTCGGCACCATCTGGCATCTCTGCGATGTTGCGTAAAGCTTCGCAGGCTTCTGCTTGGAGCCGAATGTTCTTGGGAAACTTCTTCATGGCATCGAGGATGCGCGGCAAGCCTCCCGCTTTCAGAACGATGTTGGGATAGCGTGTGGCACTGAAGGACATGGCGAAGCAAAAGGAGTACTGTATCTCCTCGTCAGCGAGAAACTGTGCCGCAGCCCGTGCTGCGTTGGTGTAGGCTACTACTTCCCTCGCATAAAGAGGATCTTCCAACATCTTCATAGTCTCCAGTGCCTCCTCTCTGGTGATCTTGAAGACATAGCCTTGCTCATCAGCCGCCATGCTTCCATGTGCCGGCTACCCCGGGTCCAAAGCCTACAAGGCACACCCCCTAGACCCTGACCGCTCCACCGGAAAGAAAGCCGGCAGAGAGAATCTGAAGTTTCTGGCCTCGGAATCAATCACACCAAGTGAGTAAGCTGATGAAACCAGGGATGGAAAGTGGACCGAGGTGGCTCAGAAGAGTAGAGCCAGAGAGGCACAGGCGGCTCACCCGTGGCATGCTGCATGATGCTTCAAGCCGGCCCCCTAAACCCTAAACCCTAAACTCATTCGAAAGGAGCAACTCTAAAGGCTTAGGCCCTCCGGTCTAGCCTGGAAGTGCCATCCCAAGTCACGGAAGTCGGAATCGAAACCTATTTTGTGCCCACCCGGAACCCCAAGCAACAGTCCCTCAGACCCACAGCAATTATCTGTTCAAACCCAGCAAATTTCAGATGCAAGGCTGATTACAATACAAAAAAGTTTGAAGTTTTGGAGGCCTTGAGGCTTCACCCATATCTACTAAATCTAAAATTCTCGGCCCTTACTCAACCCGAAATCCTGTAGTGAACTCTAGACCCATGAACCCAAAATCCCACAACCCTAACCCCTAGTGGCCTAAAACCCAAAACCCACAACCCCAAACCCCTAAACCCTAGTGGCAACATCCCTAAACCCTAACAACCCAAAACACTAGTGGCAAAATCCCTAAACCCTAAACCGAGCCTTGCCGGCCTTGTGCGAGTGTGAGAGTCGAAACCCTAAAAACCAAACCCCACACAAAACAACCATAAGGATTTCCAGGCCTGCCGCAGGAATCGCCGCAGTTCTGCCATCCTTAGCGTGGGCTTCAAAGCTACCTTAACCTGCCAAAAACCCACATTTTTGGTAGGTTCTTATTATAAACCCTAAACTTGGGATTTTTAGAGGCCTTACCAAAAGGTAGGTTCTGGTGGGTTAACGTAGGATTCAAGGCTGAGGGTTTAGGGATTCAGGGTTGAGGGGCTTTCGGGTTCAGGGCTTTTTTTGAGAGCTTTAAGGTTTAGGGCTTAGGGTCAAGGGGCTTTGGGGTTTAGGGTTTAGGGTTGAGAGATTTAGGTTTACGGTTGAGGGCTTCGGGGTTTAGGGTTGCAGGAGATTCGAGTTTGGGGCTGACAGTTTACGGTTGAAGCCTCGGTAGCTGACGGCGTTTTCGCCAGAGGGCAGATGAGGCTAATGTAGGGGCCTTGATAATCTTTATAGTATAACAGTATAGTTCTAATCAGGAACGCCCCAAGATGATATAGGTAATTCTTAAGGCCCCTACATTATGTAACGAAGCACGGGACCCTGCAGCTGTGGACGTCAAGCTCACCTTGCTCTCAGAGTTCTTGAAATTTGATCGTGATATCTGGGGTTCTATGACGCTATACACCCTGAACCCTAAGGCAGGCCCAAACTGAGCAGGGCTCAGTTCGAGGCTTGGTAGTCCGTGTCTCCAGGAGAAGCACACCCTGCACATAAGTACGAAAAGGTTCCTACAAAACTGTATAGGATCCTCAAGCACAGAATATACACACAACACCTCCCAGGAACTTATGATGCAAAAGAAGCGTCCTTCTGACCTTAGGTTGAGTACGAAAGCCTTAACTGACAACAAGCCCTATATAAATCCACAATGGCCGCGTTAAAATCCCTGACGAAAACCCTAGATCTGCAATTGAAGTCAAGGTTCCGAGGACATGACAAGTTGGTCGGTTTAGGATTTAGGGCTGCTCCCTCCGCCTCAAAGAAAGTTACAGCCCATCAAGTGTGATACATAGCGAATGCGGAGGCCTGAACAAGTAGAATTAGAATGATGGCGCATGGGTTTCTCTCATGACCAGTATATAACGTTATTTCGAAGCGTAACCCCCTGAAAACGATGACTTGGGCTCGCTGATGTTATAGTATTATGTTATAGTAGTGGCGGTGCGGTTGCAGCGGGCAAGTTGATGTACCGCACTTAGAGACAACCATAAAGAGCCGTAGACTTCATAGACTTTGAATTGTAAACAAGTCATACGCTGAATCCTCCAGCACCACATTGGAAACCAATTTAGCTTACTGGTAGACCCGGCGAATGCCATGGAAAAAACCAGTCTGTTCCCTTAACATTGGCTTAAAATTGTTCCAAAATCTCGAAAAATCTTCTCAACTCTTTCAGGCCGAGAATCTGGTTAGCAGTCTGCGTGCTCTTCATCCGGAAGTTCACCTGTTTAGGGTGTTTATGTTCAGGGCTTGCACTTTAGGGCTTGGTCCCTTCGAAAAGGCCATCTGTAAAGGGCCCCTTAAGCAACACCCGTCTGCTGGGCCAAAGGGCTCCTCAAATGCCCCGGGTTTACTTTGGTTTCAGTGGGACCATGAAACAGTGACTAAGCCCTAAACCCTAAACCCACTCAGTGGGGAAGATCACGGCTTGAGGTTCGTGGAGGCTCACTTTCCACCCATCCCGTGGAGCTCGTGCTGCAGAAACGGCTGAAAGATTAAACTACTCGTCATCTACAAGGCTTCAGTAGGTGTAGGCAAGATCCTCGTAGACCCCACCACCGGTACGTGTACGTCTTCAATGCCGAAACATCCGAAACAAGAAGGACAGGTATTTGCAAGTTTTTACAGTTGACTACACATCTCAGCATCTAAGAAAACCCTGGAACAATCGCGAGATGCTAGAGGTGCACGTGGCCCAACCCGGCCACTCAGCTAGGGGCGCACGAGACTTTGCCAAGACTCAAGCTTTGCTTTGCTGGAGCTACTTCTGCAAACTGGAGTTGAAATTGCATGCCCCATCTATAAACTCCCAGTATCAAGCTTCTCCGCCAAACTGCATTAAACAGATGCTGATGCTTCGCAACTTGCCCCCTGCCCGGCCATCGTCGCAGAAAGCGACGAGATTAAGGAGCTGAAGAATATCCTCGGATGCTTGGGCTTAGGCTTTAAGGCCTAGGGGCCTAGGGCTTAAGAATTAGGGCTCAGGGTTTATGGTTTAACGTTTGGGGCTTGTGGGTTTCAAGGGTGTTTTCCCTAAGGTTTAGGGTTTCAAGGTTTTCCCTTGAAGCCCTAAACCTTAGGGAGAAACCCTTGAAACCCCAAGCCCCAAAGGTTAAACCATAAACCTTGAGCTTCAAGGTTTAGTGTTTAGGGTTTAGGTTGCTTGTGGTTTTAGTGCCCGGGTCATCGCAGGGTTGGCAATGGAAGCTTGCGGTCACGTCAGGCCCTGGGGCCCTGGTGGCTCCCTGAATGCTGAACTCGCTTAATGTAGGGGGCCCTTAATAATTAGAATAGGGCTTTGGAGTATATTATACTATAATTATGGCTTACTTATGATAAGGAGACCCCCCAAAATGCTAAAGGTAATTTTTTGTAGGCCCCTACATTATACCATGTTTTTTGCGTTTGCCAAAGTGCCCTTTCAACTTTGCACAGCCGATTCTTCGCAGAGTCGCGCTCGTTCTGCACAAAAACATACTTGTATAACCCCCCGGGCAAGTCGAAGCCCACAATGCATATGTCAACGCTACAGCCCTTAACAAGAGGCCTTGACACGCCGTCCTGCATGAGACCGCTAAGCCCTACTCTGCTTTCTCTCTTGAGGCCGGCAGCATGCCGAAGACAAGAGCGAAGATGTTGAAAAGGCGCTCGAGCCTGGCAGAAGGCTTAAAGTCGGCTTTTGAGTATTTGGGGGCCGCAAAAACAGGTTCGAAGGCTGCTTTGATTTTCTGGCAGTGCCCGACTGCGAGGCGGCAGACAGGTTTCTTGGTCAAGTGGAGTCGCAGCTATCCTAAACATCGTTGCAAGAACAGTGGGCGGGCTTTGAACATGTGCCTTCACAGCTTTATCCCGTGTCTATCAACGTAGACGGTGGGACTATGCCAGCTTGATCACTTTTGTTGAACCAGGAGTTGGTACGCGTGCATCCTAAACCCCGAAAACCCCAGACCCTAAAACCCAAAGTCTAAAAACCCCTACAACCCTAGGCCCTAGACCCTCAAGCCTAAACATTTTTTTGCATCCAGGCCTCTTGGAGTCTTCCCTTTTTTTCTCACGGGACTCGACTGCTGCCCTTACTGCCCAGCTTGACCTCCTTAGACCCCGAAACCTAAGGCTCTTCAAGCTCCCCCGGGACTAATATAGGGGCCTTAATAATTAGAATAGGGTTTTGGGCCCCATTATACTATAATTATAATAAGGAACCCCCAAAATAATATAGGTAATTATTTAGGCCCCTATACTACACGCCCAATGCCCCTCTGCAGGCGCTGAGGCCACCACGAGTTCCGCGGAAAGACCTGTCGCTGGGGCGCGATGACTTGGGTCTGGGGATGTCTAGGGCGAGTTTAGGATTCCATTCCTCCGGGCCCTTCCTGGGGGCGAGGGAAATACGGTGAGTTTAGGCATTACTAAGAGTCACGTTCCATCCTGGCCGTGTTCATCTGCTAACTCGGTATGCTCTGTCAATGTTCTTCTGCGACTAACACATGACAAGTACTCTTATGAGAACAACTCATCTTCCCCTCCTCGCGCGTGCGGAAGGCTTCGCAGAACTGTGCTGGTCATTACCGCTGCTACATCACCAGGCACCGGTTGACAAGAACCTGAAAGGAACGCTTTTTGTGGAATTGTCATTTGGGTTTAGGGTTTAGGGTTTAGGCACTCCACCCAACAGGGCAGGTCCGCAGGGCAGCATGGCGAAATTTGTCCCCAGCCAAATTGCTATTGGGGAACGGCCCTAAACCCAAAGCCTCGGGCGCAACCCCATAATGTGACGACTTCGACTTCGACTTGGACTTCATGGCCTGCATGGATCCGGGGGTCATCTGTGTGATGGCCCAGTGGAAGGCCGTGGTGTACTGAAACAGCCTGCGAGTAAGGGCTTGGGTTGAGGGTTTCGGCTCTCACACTGGGTTGAGGGTTTCAGCACTCACCACTTAGGGTTTACGGTTTTGGGGTGCAGCGCAGGCTTTGGTCATCGTTTCAAGCTCAATGGTTTGTCGAAAAGCTGACTGCAACTGTGTTTACCTCGGGAGGAAGCTAGCTGATGCTGCTAACTGCCAACATGATCTGATTCATGTTGGTTGACAGACTTGAACGTGACCAACGGCGCCAACGGTCTTCTCACCGTCATCTGAACCGCTGCCCCGAGCCGTTTTCTCCAGGGTGCCACCTTCACACTAAGACGCTAAGTGGCCTGTGGTGTGAAGGCAGACTTCATATGGGTAGTTGTCAAAATTATGGTCCCTTTTGGGGTACCCTAAATAATAGGTGCCGTATTATAATAAGGACCCAAAAAGGGACCATGATTTTGACAATCACCCATATGCTTTACGAGGAGGGGAACTGAGGATCCGGACTTCCCTAAACCGAAACTCTGGACCAGAAGGGCCAGAGCGGCTTAGGGCCAGGGTTGGTCATGCAACGACCGCACTAGGCTCTAAACTACCATGTAAGCAGTAAGCCTCGGCCCCCAAGAAATTCCCAAGGCCAAACTTTCAGCAAGCCACGGCAGGGTGTCCGAGTAAAACGGGCTGTTCTCGTCCCGGATGGGGTCGTTTAGCCAGCTCGTGCCTGCTCGTCTCGACAGGTCAAAGGTGGGATCTTCCAGGTGGGTTTCCCAAAATAGGGGACCCTAGTAGAGTACCCTCAATAGTAGGACGCTTGTTATAAAGACCCCACAATAAGTTACCCCCTTATTTCCGAAATTCCCGTGTGGCTCTGCTAAGCCTAGGCTTTAGGGTGCAAGGCTGGGGCTCTCGCAACGGCTTTAGGGCTTGATGTATTCCATGCCTAAAAGCTTCATACAGGCACATGGCGGAACCACTACCTCAGCCTAAAACCCTAAACCCTCGACTCAAGCCAGCCCTAAACTTAAAGCATTGCAGCCCAAGAGTCCCGTGTCGCCGACCGTCACACGGCCGATGTAGAACCAGGTGCAGCTCATAATGTGGTTGATCCAGACGATGATCACGATCTCAGGATTCGGAGTTGAGGGTGCTGGCTTTCGGGCGCCGGAATCGCGAAAAGCGAACCAACACATCTCAAAGGAACGAAACTACCCAACCCTAAACCCTAAACCCTAAACCCTAAACCCTAAACCGTTGCCTGCCCTGAGCATCTTGGTTCTTGTCGTGGTGTCTAGGCCCTAGTGGAGCGTCCAAGCCCAGCCCGGTTTTGCGAGTTTCAAGCCGATGGTGTAGGACGACATGGGAGTTTCCGAAAATGAGCCTTATTTGGGGGTCCTTCTAATATGGATCCTACTATTTAGGGTCCTGTATTAGGGTCCCCTGTTTTCGGAAGCCCCCACATCGGGGCCCAAGTAACTGCAACAACGTTTCGGAGAACGCTGTGTAGGATTCGCTACTATTGAAGTCCACCGGGCCCGCAGCACAACAGTTGTTCGTCTCTCTCTCTCTCTCTCTGTCTCTATGTCTCTGTTGCCTGTTCTCTTGCTCTCTTGCACAAAGCCCTAAACTGAGGGTTCTGATATGGAAGAAAGATCGAGGAAAAAGCCCTCTCCCTCAGCCCTCAAGCTCTTGTCAGCTGCCCTTTTCTGATGAAGTGGCAACCGACACCAAACTCGCAAAAGACAAATGTAAGTCCTCGGCCCTAAAGCCTGCAAAGCCAAGGTACCCCACCCTAAAACCGAAGTCCTACACTCAAAACGATGATCTTAAGATCATTTTTCAGCACGGGCCTCGGGTGTATGCCGGCAAGCTGGAATGTTCAGGTCTTCACGAGACACCAGCAGTTTTGAAACGGAGCTCATTGCGCAGGATGTAAATTTTGGGTGCCAGGCTCAGGGCCTATACAACGTAAGATCCTCAACCCAAAGCCCTCTAGCTAATACAGGGGTCTTAATGATTAGAATGATTAGAATAGGGTTTTGGGGCCCATTATACTATATCTGTAATAAGGAGCCACCAAAATAGTATTGGTAATTCCTTAAGCCCCTACATTCATACAGGATCTTAAGGTCCCCCAACCCCTGGCGGATGCAGCCGCCCTCGGCGCCGCACGAGACGAGCCATGTCTCCCACATACTTCCTGGCTCCAAGCAAGTTCTCTTAGGGTTTTATCCTTTGGGTTTTAGAGCATTAGGACACCAAGGTTTATGCTAGGTTTAGGGTGGGTCATTACGGTCTTATGCTTTGGGGGTTAGGCTATTTGAGTATTTTAGAGCTTATAAGGTTTTGGGACCACGGGGCCATGGGCCATGATTCCAGGCCCTGCGTACCTCTGATGCTGCGAATCCCTCCCTGCAGCATTGCTAGCCATCTCCGAGCAAATGCAGGGTTTGAGGTGCTGCCCGAGGATCGAAGAGGATCCCCCATGCAGCCGATCTCCCAGGTGCCTCGGTTCGGTAATTGCTTGCAGGCTTTAGGCCGGGCCTAAAGAGGCCGCAGGATTGTTGTTCTGTTTGTGTACCTGTCCCTCGTTTCATTCATGCCGGCTACTTTCCTTACCGGTCTTCCGTTTGCAATCCCAAAGGAAGGCAAAGCAGGGTTCTGAAGACGAGGCACGTTTCGGAAAGGGCAGAGTCTGGAGCCGGAGTGGGGGTCAACGAAGACAGTTAGCTAAGCAGAGTTCCAAACATCCCGTAAACTGCATGTCCTCGAAGTTAAGTTAAGCAACGTGGGCCTGCATTTGGGCAAACCACAACATGCACACAAGCAAGCACAGCCATGCACTACGGCAAAGCTCCACATAACAATGGCGACACGCAGTCATAAAGTGTCGAAAGCAAGAGAAGTCACATGAAACCCGTAGCGGCCGTAGACTTCGGACTTCAATGGACCCCATCAATGCGCACAACTACTCTGCCCTTTCTGGGGGGTCCAAAGTTGATATAAAAAGCCATGGCAGCCAAGGCGCTCCAGGTATACTTGAATGCGAACAACCCGGGTCACCTGGGCTCAACCATGGGGTTCAAGAACTCGGAGATGACTAGCACTAGCGGTAGCAGTACCAGTGCTTGTCGTCGTCGTCTAACGATAGCGCAGTCTTCAAACGGAGTTGCCCCGCTTGAACCTTTGCCTGCTGCTGCCAGTTGCTTGCGCTCACACCCTGAGAACTCCCAGTCCGAATTTACTGGGGTACTATGGGGCCTATGGGTAGACCCTACCCCTAAACAAGGCTTCTTTTTGCATCTGGTTTGCAGCGACTCAACCAGGACAGAAACAAGCGGCACACCCGAAGCCCGCAGCTTCATGCTAGAAGCCTACTTGAAGGATCAGGGGACTTAGTAAGTAGGGTTATAAGTACCCTAAATAGGGTTATAAGTAGATATACCCATAGTTACCTTACTTATATCCCTAATTTATACGTCCTATGATGCTCCAAGTACCTTGTCTTGCCTCTTGAGAACCCTATCCCAGGTCCCAGCTTATCTTCATTGGGCTCTGAGGGTCTTTCTGTGGCATGCAACAAGCTCCAGGTCCAAATAGGCTGCTCTCTGCGCTACGACACCCTGGATGTGGCAACAGCATGCAAGTCCTTGAATTTATGTGTTGTGCCACCCTTCAGGTGTTCTCCGAACGTCCCAAGGCCAGCGCAGTAACTCCGAACCGAGCTCTCAGAATCGAAACCTGTGGTCGGAAACAATAATGCCAACAAAAAGCATTCCATTAGAGGATGGTTTGCAGCAAAATAACATTTTGATCTGAATGACCAGTGCATGGCCAAACCGCACATCAAATTGCAACGTGATCCATCCTGCAACCCCCAAACCCTAAACGCTAAACCGGCGGGCGAGTTACACTCACGATGCGCACGACACGTGTCGCCTTGGAGAAGCGGACCAGTTTTGCGCCTCGAAGCGGTTTTAAGGTGCAGGGTTTACGATTTGGGGTTCGGTTTAATTACGGTTTCGACTCTCACTCTCGCACGCAGCAGGCAAGGCTCCACATATGTCCGTTAATTACTTTTTTTTTTAGTCTAAGGCTCAACACATGTCATGTCCCAAGACCACGTGTCCAAGCCCAGCCTAATCCCCAATCCCCGAACCCTGAATCCCTAAATCGTCCAAAACCTAAACTCCTAAACTCTAAACTTCAACCCTAAACCAAAGCCATCAGTGAACCCAGATCCGAACCGAGGCCTGCTTAGAGAGACGCCAAGCTCTACAGGAATCACAGGGGGCGGAATGACTGATCAAAGCAGGTGTGATGTGCAGCTTACACGATCTTGGGGAATCCTGAGAAAGCGCACGCCCAATGATTCAAGACGCTGTGGTGCCTGACACAGACACAGACCCTACTTGCTGACCCAACACCTCTCGGATGGCTTCCTTCGCAACAGCAAGGAAAAAAGAAAACCGCAATCCACGACAACGTCATAACCATAACGAAACTGAAAACCGGAAACCCCTTAAGCCCCTCAAGCCCTAAACCCTCACAGCTCTTTGCAAGAAATTGAGGAAAAGGCCGATCACTTCCGGGTTCTCGCCGGCCTGCCAGGCGGCGACTGTGTCGGTTCCAGGCTTGGTGCAAGGCAGTAGGCTCAGGATGATTTGCGGGAAAATTCAAGCTTAGGCGCATGGCTTACAATAGTTTCCGGGTTTTAAGCTCTCTGCACTGCACATTGCTTACCGGCATGTATCAAAGTAACCCATCCCGCAACATGCAAACGACACCATCGACACAGCTGCCGATGGCGCGTAGCAACTGTTTTGGCGGTCATCAAACGGTCAAACGGCATCATCAGAATGGATAAAAAGGTTTTCCGAAGGTTCCGCTAGCCTTAGTTTGTTTTTGCAAGCCCCACTTGCGCCTGCTCCTCCGGGAAAATCGAGTTTGCGAAGACTGTCAACCAATCAACGCAGACCTGTCGCAAATCCAAGCTTGTTCTATCACGACAAGCACGCTGCTGAGCACAGGCTCGTCAGTGAACTCTCAAATTCTCCCAACCTCTCGCTGGCTGGGGACAAATTGCACTTTCAGGCATGAATATATGCGTAAAAAACAGGGTTTGTGGTTGTCATTGGCTGTCTAAGCCCAGGTGCGATGAACAAGTCCAGGACAAACGTGGTCCTGGAGAAATGTTCAGGGTCGTCTTCAAATCATACAAACTGCAGCTAATAGTAGTTGCACCCTTTTTGCAACAGGCTTTCCACTTCGCCCGGAGTTGGACCCTAAACCCTAAACTTGTTGGACACTCGACATGTTGCGCCCTGCAAGTCATGTCCTGGCATACCTGCGGAAGATCATGGATGGTCTTGTCCTCGATTCCCGGGCATAAAAGGCAACAAATCAAAGCGGTCAGCAAATGACCGGTGTAGGGTTTAGGGTTTAGGGTTTAGGGTTACCCCTAAACGCACGCGTCGAGGACAGCAGAATCTTGGCACCCGGCTCCAGCTTACCTGCACAAAAGCGCTCGCAGAGTTGGGGACCCAGAGATTCGCTTTTAGGGATAAGTTTTCAACTTTTGGGGTCCAGGGCTTGAGGCTTTTGCAGGTTTAGGAAGTAACTCCAGGTTTGAAGGTTACCCTCCAAGACCGTCCAAATGGCATATAAGCTGGTAAAATTCATATCATGCATAAGTTCAAGGTGCACCACCACTTGAAAAACATGAGAATAGAACGATGCAGCGGCAAGTTCCAAGAAGCTAACGGATCACAGTCCCTACTGTTTGATTCTCAGCCCGATCGTCCAGGTCTCACGGTCGTGAACATGTGAGCATACGGGGCGAGACCGCGCCTGCATGGTAGTATGCTGTCCGCAGCGTCATCATCATATCTAGTGTCCAGAAGACAGCGACGGCTGCGGTGCAGTACCTGGGTTTTGCTTTTCTTAACCATAACTCCTCGACAAGTTCGTGGCACAGAAATGCCAATGCCATGCATGGAGCTTGTATGAATCATGACGAGCGGCAACAACCACCCACTCATGGGGAAATCCCAGGCGATGGTCACCGGTGTGAAGCACAAGTCATAAAGCAGGAAAAGCATGGCCAGCATGTCGAAGGCAATTCGTTCGATTCCGGATGGGTCGAAGATGCACCGGCCCCTCAGAACCAACAGTTGTGTCTAGGCACAACTAACCGATGTCTTTTTTTTAACCAAGAAGCCGATGTGTTTTGCTATCCAAGGCCACCATGGAGACGTACTTCATCGTAATCCTCGCACCCACACTCAACTCACTCAGAGCTCGTCAGCATGACAGCGGACACACCAAAACAACAACTGGGCACAGCACCGCTCATTCATCTCCCTGGGCGTACGTTGGAGGTTTCGGGTTGAAGATTTCAAGGTCAGAACATATGCAAACGTGCTTCGGCGAACACACAACGTAGAACATGATTAGCTTTTCCAAAAGGAATTGCGTCATGAGTGGCTGGAGATTGCGAAACAAAAAACCCACAAGTTCGAACTGCAACAAGTTGAAAATCTACGGACAATCGAAACAATGAGTATCACATGGTACTATAACAGGTTACGGACGTCAAAGACAGCAGACCTGTTTCGTGGATGTACAAGCAATTCGGTGCAAACACCACGAACTTTGGAACATCTTCCTGTCCATGATATCTACCTCATTCTGCCGTACACATGGTGACTATGAGCACACATGATACCAAAATGATTGCCCTCACCAGCAAACGCTCCACATGATGTTGCGATTGCAACACATCGTAACTGATATGTTTCGAACCCTGCCCACCCCGTGAACTGTCTGTACACCATTGGCAGCAAGCGGCCCTGCGATCGTGGCTAAAGCAGAAGTCTTCATCGGCAAACCGCCGAATCGCCGAGCTTTGACACCTCAGCGTGGCGTCCAAACAATTTCCAAAACCGCGAACCCAACCTTCAACATCTTAGTCCAACCCCACCAAAAATTGCATAAGTGGGGCATGTCATGTGAGTACAGATGGTGGATACATGTGGGCCCTCATGTGGGCAAGCTAGCGATCAGCCCACTTGCAAAATACATGCGCCACGAGCGAATCGAACTACCACTAACACGCTCACACCAGACCCTAAACGCTTCGAGGCACAAGTGGGCCAATCTTCCGGTAGGCCACACGTCGCTCCTTCAGCGCTTGTCATGAATGACGTTCTCCTTGTTGACCTGACGTCGTAGTCCTGTCCAGGTGTGCACTTTCCTGGGTTAACATTAACATGGCTTCGCTTCAGGAAGCTAATGACATTCTACAATTGCGTGACAATTGCCTACGCCAGGCAACGGTCCTCCCATGGAACGAAGCTGCTCATTGTTCTGATGGTGCGTGGGGGCCTTGGCGAAACGGCAGGAGCTGAACATGCATGCCAGCGGCCGCATGCAACTAACCTTAGTGACGTTCCTTGGCCGTCGTAAATTGACGTGGGAAACACGAGTGAAATTAAGTTTCAAGTTGAGTTGTTGGTAATTCCACAGCCCCAACTCTGGGAAATGCTATCAAAGCAGGTTTCAAAGCTCATGGGCAACAGCGAGCGTTCAAAACGCGAAACCACGCGGCAGGCAAACACGGGCTGTGATGATGTCACTCAAGGAAGGGCTCCTTTAAAGGGGCCGGAAACGAATGTGTTGCGAAGGGGCTCGCAACAGCGACGGGAAGGAGTGCAAACCACTGGAGCGTGAAAACCGCGCGCTAACGGGGGGTGTTCACGGGCGGCAAGGACCGTGCCCCCGCAACCCATCACCCCCCAAATTTATCGCAATCGCAAACATGCGTAGTGCCGACACGCCCGATCGCAGACCAAATCCGGGTTCAAAAACTCTATCGCACAATCGTGCGCGGGTGGGAGTTGTTATTGTTCTTGGCACCCGCACGCCCTTCAATTTATTGCCGCGCACAGGGCCGGTTGCGCATCGAGCCCACTGAGCTCGAGCGGCGTGCGGCCAATGCAAAAAACCTTCCCTTCTATACCTGAGGACGCGGACGCGTTTGCTCCTTTACACGCACTCCCGCATACACCCGCTACTGCACTCTGCCACGCTAGACTCTGGTTCCTGTGCAGCTGGGCTTGGCTTCGAATTACACGGTGACGAGCGATTGTAGATTGGTTTTGTCGTCCCACGCCTACTGCAACCTGCAGCTGTTAAGGGATCTTGAGATTCCTGGCGTGGATGCCGTAGACTCAGTTGCCGCAACAGTAACTACCTCAAACCAATGCTCGCCTGGAGCGCTGCGAAGGCACGCAACAGCGACGGGAAGGAGTGCAAACCACGAGATCTGCGAGTTGTTGCAAAATGCGGTCGAAGAAGGCGCAGTCGCGGACTCTAATGGCACAAAGCGAGTCGGCTCAAGAGGCGAAATAGGTTGCTGGGGCGTGCGCCGCGGCGTTGCGGAGGCCGAGATTCCCATGGCGAAGTAGAAAAAAAGTAGCAGGTGGATGCAGGTGGGCCCGGCGGATGGCCAGGGGCAGCTTGCATGGACTTGCAGCAGCAGGGCCAGGCAGTGCACACGCTGCGGTCGTGCTCGGTTGAGACGACAGCCGTGAGAGCTGGCGGGACGGCCCGGGGTACGATATTGTGCAGGCGGGCTGGCGCCGCACAGGAGCAACAGCCAAGCGATCTGGAGATCGGGGAGTGCAGGGGGAAGTTCGAGGGGAGCGTTGTGCTGCGCGGGAGGGTGTGAAGTTTTTTTTTTTTTTGTGAAAGTGCGCAGCAACGAACTCATCTGTACCGAGGGGGCCCCCGGACCTTGAGGTTTTGTTGGTATGTGGGCCCAGATGTGCACATGGTCCGACGCGGGGTTGGGCGGCGGCGGGAGCCCGGCGGGGCAAACCCCGGCTGCATTCCAAACACCGGGTTATGGCGGCGTTGGGCATGGGAAAACAGGTGGTGCTCAAGGCGTTGCAGCACGAACACCAAGGCGACAGGGCTCGCTGGTGAGGAATGTGTCATCGAGGACCGCGCGCAAACTCTCGTTGGGGAAGAGGTCGCTTGCATGGCACGCCAGGCGGGAGGAGCGACACCGAGTGCGAACAAGGCCGGCATAAGCGGCACCTTGTTCGCCGCCCCCTGCCTGCAGCACGCTGTGTGGCCTGCCAGCTTATTCGGTCGAGGGCGCCGACCCCATCGACTGACAGGTCCAGATCGCTCGCCGACACTTTGGACAGCCATAATGCATACATCTTCATCGAGCAAAGGACGCAGAATTTCAACGGTGTAGTGGGGGAGCGTCGCAGTGTGAACGGCTCGGGAGGCCTGCGCCAACTGAGTCTACGGCATCTACTCCTAGAGTCCCGAAATCCCTTTTTTGGTCGCCCCTTGCCTTTTTCCGCCAGCAGCTGGACCCCTTGCAAAACTCGGTCCCGGATTAGGGCCAGTTCCGCACTGCGGCAGGCGGCTGGGCCCATCGTGGTCGACTAGATCGAAAACCACCAGGGCCAGCGCATCAGTATGTGCCGGTCTCGGCACGGCCCGGGCGCGGCCACGGAAAACACGCTCCGCCAGCGGCGGGCCCGCGCAAACGGGCCGACCACGACAGGCTCCTGCAGCGCTTGCCCCTCCTCGATGACTTGCAAGCCGCGTGGCTGCTGCTGCACTCCTGCGCTGCTCCGCGGGCAAGCTACCTGCTGCGAGTGCTGCCCCCGCACCTGACGGCGTCTTTTGCCCAGGCGCATGATGTGGCCATTGCGCGGTGCCTCGCTGCATTGCTGGAGCGCGATGACACACCGCTCCCCGATACCAGCTTCACAACTGCCCGGCTGCCCCTCCGACTCGGTGGACTGGGCTGCGGTCCGCCGCCGCTGAGGGCCACGCCGCCCACTGGGCCTCATGGTGCGACACACTCCCCGTGATCCGCCGCCGGGCCACAGCCGCAGCCGACCGCCTGCTGCACGCCCTCCAAGGCGATGTCCCGCTGCCGTGCGCTGCGGCCGCAACACAAGCTTGCGCACGCGTGTGCCATGACGGCTACGACTCACCGACCTGGGCCGCAGTCAGTGGAGGGGCCGATGCGCCCCCTGCTCGAGGACATGGTGAGGAGCCCGCCGACCCACTCCGGGGCTGGCAGCGGGTTGCCGTCCGAGCAAGCGATGAGCGCATATGCGAGATGCATCTTGCTAATCTTTCCCCTGCATCCCGCGCACTGCTGCTGTCACAAGCTGGGCCCTGTGCTGCTCGTGCAATCATTTAGAATGCACGTCGCTGCCGCCTTGTGGTAGTCGGCGTCGCGGTAGGTGGGAGGTTCGGTCGCGAGG